ATGTTACATTTACATCACATCATGGATCACATATTGATCAGATGCTGCTGCTGACTGATCCATGACAGGATGTTCTGTTGTTGTAGTCTTCAATTTTAAAAAGTTTTCAGTGGGAATAAAACACACTGTTTAAACATGTTAATAAAAATCTTATTCTAAACAAATGTAATAATTATTGAATGGTGAATAAAAGTGAAAAACTGTAAAAAAGTTTATGTTTCTTTACATATTTTGTTGCGTAGTTTGCAGCGAGGCATTAATTCTGTTTGGGGGGGCCATGGCATGTAAATGTTTGGGACCCCCTGCATCAGACTAGTTCACACTGCACGTCTTAATGCTCCTCTGAGTTTTTGCACAGATCCAGTTTATCTGTGTTGTTGTTGATGTTGTAGTTTAAAGTGGACTCCACAGACTCCAACAGTCTACAGTCCTGAAGATGTGATGTCATGCAGCACCCTGTTTGCAAAAGGAAATATGGATGCTAAATGTTATGTGTGGGTCCATTCTGCTATTGTCCAATCAGAGATGACTAAATAATTATCTYCAGTGATTACTTTGGACTTTGGACACTTTGGACTTCTGGAGCGTGAACGCTGGCGCATCCTGGTTGCCACTGCTCGTCGGACATTCTGCCATTTTTGGCTTAATCAACTATTTTATTTGTCCATCACGGATCTTCTGCTGMTGGATTACTAAYACAAGTTCCTGCTTCATCCCAACATCAACCTTGTGGATTAATTGGATTTACCTGCTGCCCGCTCTGGTTTGGACCCTCCTGCTGAGACTCCTCCATTACTTGGGAACAGAACTTCTCCGTCTACGCTTCCTACCGGGCGCACCACCATCACCGCCACTACTTCCTTGGGACATCGCCTTCCAGCCTCAACAACGATATATCCACCATGGCTCCTGCCACAGATTCTCCTCCGGCAAGCCCATAAACTCCGCCTGGTCTGACCGTCCTCCACGCCGCAACACCCGGGCTGCTAACAATAGCATGTTAGCTAACCTAGCTTGGTCYGCTAACCCTCCAGTCGCCTCCAACTCCTCCYCTGTTAACTTTGGGCTTTTAAACATTCATTCTCTCACTGGCAAAGGTCAGCTCATTAAGGACCTTATCTTTGACCGTAAGTTGGATTTTCTCTGCTCAAKTGAAACCTTGCAACAACAGAATGACTTTTGTCATCTCAATGAATCTACACCACCGGGGTTTGTTTACATTGCAAAATCCTGCGAATCCGGCCGTGGAGGAGGTCTCGCGATAATTCACCGCGAGAACTGGAAGGTTACTCCAGTTCACACACCTCCCACCAGTTCTTTTGAGCAGACTGTGTGCTTACTATCCGGCCCTACCCCCACCATTGTTGCTACTATTTATCGCCCACCCAAACCAAACAGTTCTTTCATTAATGACTTTGCTGATTTTCTCGCCTACCTCTCAGTCCTTTCACCCAACATTGTCCTGCTGGGAGGCTTCAGCATTCATATGGATGYTGACAACAGCCCCCTCACCAGAGACTTTTCATCCTGTCTCGACAGCTGTGGTTTCCAGCAGTTCATCAATTTTCCAACTCACATTAAGGGTCACWCTCTGGACTTATTGTGTTGTTCTGGTCTCTCACCTCTGAACTGTTCTTCTGATGAGCTCCCTTTTACTGATCACCTGTTGCTTTCTTTCAGCYTAAATTTGAAATTCTCTTCTTTCAGACCATAACGCACCATTCAGTTTCTTAACATCAAGAACATCAACCAGGAAGCTCTCCTTTCTRAGATTAAAAACAGTTTCTCCACCTTTAACTCATCTAGCCTAGATGACCTAGTCTCCACCTACAACGATGGTCTCACCAACATCCTTGACTCTCTTGTTCCTCTTAAAACCCGTTCTGTTTCCTTCTCCACTTCTGCTCCATGATTCACCTCAGAACTTCGCTCCATGAAAACACAAGTTCGCAGACTAGAGCGACTCTACAAGAAATCAGGTCTTACAATTCACAAAGAGATGTACATAAACCACACCTTACAGTACAAATAAAGTATTGCTCAGGCCAAATCTAACTACTTCACTGACATCATCAGTTCCAATGTAGGCAACACACYGACTCTTTTCTCTCTCCTTAACTGCACAGTTTCATCTCCAAACTCTCTACCCCCTCACAGGTTTTCTACTGACTGCTGTAACTTGCTAATGTCATTCTTCACTGAAAAAATCCTCTCCATACACCAACACCTTGGGCCAAACTCTGCCCCCAATATCTTTATTGAACTCCCYCCCCCCTCCATCCTGCTCTCTGTGTTCGCTCTCCCCTCTGCTGCTGACATCTCTGAGATCCTTAGGAAGTCCAAGTCATCCACCTCCCAGCTAGATCCCATCCCCACAGCTTCAGTTAGATCATGTCTCCCCTCTTTGCTTCCTATCATCACTAACATCATCCACTCCTCTCTGACGACTGGTACTGTTCCCACAGCTTTTAAATCGGCTGCCATCACCCCCATCATAAAGAAAACAGGTCTAGATCTGTCTAACTTCAATAACCTCCGTCCCATTTCTAATCTGCCTTTCATCTCCAAAAACCTTGAAAAGGTCGTCGCTAATCAGCTTCACTCACACCTCTCCAGCAATAACCTCTATGAACAGTTCCAATCAGGTTTTTGYCCACATCACAGKACCGAAACTGGTCTTATTAAAATTACTAACGATCTCCTCCTTGCTGCTGACTCAGGACTTCTGTCAATACTCATCCTCCTTGATCTGAGCTCTGCCTTTGACACCATCTCTTATCCTATCCTCATTGACCGACTAACCTCTATCGGCATCTCAGACACCCCCTTGGACTGATTTAAATCATATCTTTCTCACCACACTCAGTTCATACAGCTCAAGTCCTTCCATTCCCAGTCTTCACRCATCTCCACCTGTGTTCCCCAAGGTTCTGTACTCAGGCCTCTACTTTTCATAATCTATCTGCTCRCGCTTGGCCACATCTTCCGTAAATTTGGTATCCATTTCCACTCTTATGCCAATGACACTCTACATTTTGACAAAAGCGAACTCCACCTTACCATCCTCCACCCTTACCGACTGCCTCATTGAGCTCAATAACTGTTTCTCCAACAAATTCCTTCAACTAAACCAGAACACAGCTGAACTCCTCCTTATTGGGACGAAAAACGTCATTTCCAAATCCCAGCATCTTCATTTCACTTTTGACAACTCCGTTCTTTCCCCCTCGCCTCAGGTCAAGAACCTAGGTGTCATCCTTGAAACCACACTCTCTTTCACATCCCACATTAACAACGTGACTCGATCTGCCTATTTTCATCTCTACAACATAAACCGTCTCCGTCCTTCACTCACTCCCCGCTCCACTACCATCCTTGTACACAGCCTAGTAACATC